TAATTGATGAGTTTTCTATTTTTTCTCTCTTCATTCTCTTTTGGGTTAACAATAAAATGAAGTCATTGTGACTGCATGTATTCTGTTGTATTTATGACTTTGCTTGGTGCAGTGACACCTAACAGTTACACGAATTTTGGAAACTATAATATTTCAGGTTGTATCATTTCTAAATTATATACCAGCGATAGCAAGAGTATTTTACATGTTTTCTTTCAAGGTCCCCATCAGATGCAGTGAACTTCATATGGTTCAGGTATTAACTTATTTTAGATGCTATTTCAACATTTGCTTATTACTGTCTTCTCCCACCTTTTCCCATAAGTAGACTATTTCTGTTTGAAAAAAAAAAGTAAATAGTATCTTATAGGTGAGCATCTAATATAATTTGTAGAATCTTCAAAACAGATGTAATTATAAGTAAGTACATTATCCTGAAATTAGTGCATAACCTTTATATGCTTAATTTTTTTAAAAAAGTGAGATATAATTTACTTGTAAATTATGCACATTAATTATAAAATTGTACAAGTATATATACTTAGATAAATACATAGTTTTATGAATTTTACAGATGTATGCATTTGTATAACCAATATTCAGGCAAGTTATAGCACATTTCAATCACCCTCTTTAGTGAATTGACTAGTACACTCCCACCCCACCACCCCACCACCTGGAAATTTTAGAAGGTGACCTTTTTTGCAAACTGGGTTTTGGCAGATGCAACGAAGGTAAGGATGAAGATGAGATTATATGGGATAAAGGGACTTAAATCCAATGGGAGTGTTGCTGTAAGAGACAAAAAAAGACATGGAGATATGAAAGAAGAAGGCATGAGACAATGGAGGGATTGACATTGTATAACTATGAGTCAGGGAATGCCCTGCAGATTTGATACTGGAGTTTCAGACCTCTTGTCTCTGGAACTGAGAGAATAAATTTCTGTTGTTTAAGCCACCAAATTGTGGTCATTTTTTACAGCAGCCCAAGGGAACAAATATACCTCCTCCATCCCCTGCAAATTCTATTATGCCTCTTTCCAGTCCATCCTCAATCCTCAAAGGCATGTAGTATTCTTATTTCTATCGCCATAGATTAGCCATGCCTGCCTTTGACCTTAATATGAATGAAATTATATGGAGCATGTTCTTTTTTGTATCTGTTTGGATTCTTTTGATCAGCATAATGGGTGTGAATTTAATTTATGTCATGTGTGTCTGTATTCGTTTTATTATTGAGTAAAACTCAAATAATTTGAATATACCATAATTTATCCATTCTGTTCATAGATATTTGGGTTGTTTCTTCCTACTCTTATTTCATACATATATTACTTCTTTTGTAGCTGTAATTGGTTTAGAAGTTATGTATTCTATTATTGTTTTTGCCGTTGGGACCTTAAGGTTATAGTAGTTACATTTTACTTTAATTTGCATTGGTCTTCCTACTAGTAAAGCAGAAACTTTGAATACTTTAACTTTGGCTTTCTTCTCAAGTCTTCTGTGTTTTTGTGAACATAAGATATTTATTTTCAAAAGTTGAAAATCATTATGTATTTTTTTACATTCCATGCTTTTGTATAGAGACACGAACATATTTTTCAGTTGGTGTGATCACTAATCCTTGTTGCATTCTACTTCCTCTGGGTTCTGTTTTATTTTCTCCAGTACTTTATTCTTTAAGTGAATGCTTTTTAAAAAATTAAGTTCTTTGCCTTTACTTTAGCTACAGGTATGTTTATTTTGCTCACATTGTTAAACTATAACTGCTTATAGAATTATACTGTGACAATTTTTTCTCAGCATGTTGAAGATAGTATCTCAGCTATCTAACCTTTATTTATTTATTTATGGATTATATGTCTGCTGTCAAAGTTTTATTCCTCTCTAGATAATCTGCAATTTTTCTCTGGCTTGACTTTATTCTTATGTCATGTAAATATACTGTGTTTAGATGCAGACTTGTTTTGTTCATTCTGTTAATTTTTTTTAATCTAAGAACTCAGGTCTTCAATTCTGGAAATTAATCCGTCATCTCTTTGAGTAGTGTGTTTTATTCTTTATTATATATGTATATACACATTTAAGTTCAGGGGTACAAGTGCAGGTTTGTTACATTGGTAAACTTGTGTTGTGGTGGTTTGCTGTAAAGATGATTTCACCAGCCAGGCATTAAGCCTAGTACCCGTTAGTTATTTTCCTCATCCTCTCCTTCCTTCCATCCTCTGCCCTCCAACAGGCACCAGGGTCTGTTGTTTCCCTCTATGTGTCCATGTGTTCTCATCATTTTCTCACTTATAAGTGAGAATATGTGTTTTGTTTTCTGTTTCTGTGCTAGCTTTTTAAGGATAATAGCCTCCAGCTCTGTCCATGTCCCTGCAAAGGACATGATCTCATTCATTTTTATGGCTGTTCGATATTCCATGTTATACATATATCACATTTTCTTTATCCAGTCAGTTGATGGGTATTCAGGTTGATTCCATGTCTTTGCTATCGAGAAATAGTGCTGCATTGAGCATATGTGTGTACGTGTCTTTATATTGGAAGGATTTATATTTCTTTGGGTAGATACCCAGTAGTGGGATTACTGGGTTGAATGTTATTTCTGTCTTTAGGTCTTTGAGGAATACTACCCTGTCTTCCATAATGGTTGAACTAATTTTTACTACCACAAACAGTATATAAGTGTTTATTTTCCTTCACAACCTCACCATCTGTTATTTTTTTGACTTTTTAATAATAGCCATTCTGACTGGTGTGAGATGGTATCTCATTGTAGTTTTTATTTGCATTTCTCTAATCAGTAATACTGAGTTTTTCATATGATTGTTGGCCACATGTATGTCTTCCTTTGAGAAATGTCTGTTCATGTTCTTTGCCTGCTTTTTAATGGGTTTTTTCCCTTGTGAATTTCTTTAAGATCTTTATACTGAATATTAGACCTTTGTCAGATGTATAGGTTGCAAATACTTTCTCCCATTCTGCCGGTTGCCCGTTCAGTCTGATGATAATTTATTTTGCTGTACAGAAGTTCTTTAATTAGATCCCACTTGTCAATTTTTGCTCTTGTTGCAATTGCTTTTGGCATCTTTTTCATGAGATCTTTGCCTGTGCCTATGTCCTAAATGATAATGGCTAGGTTGTCTTCCAGGACTTTTTTTTTTTTTTTAATATAGTTCTGGATTTTACATTTAAATCTTTAATGCATTTTGAGTTTATTTTTATTTACGGTATAAGGAATGGGTCCAGTTTCAATCTTTTGCCTATGACTAGCCGGTTAACCCAGCACCGTTTATTGAGTAGTGAATCTTTTGCTTGTTTTTGTCAGGTTTGTGAAGGATCAGACAGTTGTAGATGTGTCGTCTTATTTCCGGGTACTCTGTTCTGTTCCATAGGGCTATCTATTCATGTATCAGTACTATGCTGTTTTGGTTAATGTAGTGTAGTGTGAAGTTGGGTAGCGTGATGCCTCCATCTTTGTTATTTTGCTTAGGATTGCCTTGGCTATTTGAGCCCTTTTTTGGTTCCATGTAAGTTTTAACATAGTTTTTTCTAATTCTGTGAAAAATGTCAGTGGTAGTTTAGTGGGAATAGCATTGAATCTATGAATTGCTTTGGGCAATATGGCCATTTTAATAATATTGATTCTTCTATGCATGAGCATGGAATGTTTTTTTATTTGTTTGTATCATCTCTGATTTCTTGGGTAGTGTTTTTAGTTCTCCTTGTAGAGATTGTTCATCTCCTTAGTTACCTGTATTTCCTAGGTATTGTATCCTCTTTTGGCAATTGTGAATGAGAGTTTGTTCATGATTCGAATTTTGGCGTGACTGTTGTTGGTGTGTAGGAATGCTAGTGATTTTTGCATGTTGATTTCATATCCCGAGACTTTGCTGAAGTTGCTTGTCAGTTTAAGGTGTGTTTTATTCATTCCCTTTACTCTTTCCTTCTGTAGTAACTACCAGTCATGTACTGGAACATTTCCACTTTTTTTTTCTTACATGCTTATTACCTTTTTATCTTGTTTTGTGCCACAGTTCTTTAAATGTGTTTTTGGATATGTCATTCTCTCTAGTCTACCATTCAACATTTCCATGGAATTTTTTTTTCTTAACTTTTAGATTTTTCATTTTATTCTAATGTGTACATTCTTGCCTTTTCCGTGTGATTTCTTGTTATTCCTTTTTCTCTTCAGTTATCTGGTAGATATTCATTTTAAAAGCTCTTTCAGAATGACCTTATTTCTGTATTTTTAGGTGTGAAATTTTCTTACTGATACTGATGACTGTTCCTCATGAAGGTTTGCTTGTTCGTGCGATTTATTCATTTTGATGTTAGGGTAGCATTTCATGAAAGTCCAGATCTCAGGATTGTAGAAAACATCTAGATAGTAGGTCTATATTTATATTTTTTCTTTGTGGGTTTTCCTGGTTCTGAAAAAAATCTTATTTTAAATAGTCAACACCATATAGACCCCATACTACATGATAATTTTAATTTAGATCCCATCCTTGCAGACTTGGTGTTCTTATGGCTCATGAGTTACATTTTCTCTTGTGCTTACCCACTCTGTGCTCCCAAGCCAGAGTCAGCCTCCTCTGCTCTGGCCAGTTAGGGCAGGGGGTCATGAACAAACAGCTCTCTTGACTCTATCTACATAAAGGGAGCTAAGTGCCAGATCTTTACATGAATATTTCTCAGCCTGGGTCGAGGACCTTGCCCTAAATTCTACCTCTGTCTGGTCTGATATCTCCATGAGTCATTCAGCTTTAGCTTCTGCCTCAACTCTGCCTCGAGTTTCCTCTTTGTTTCTAAGTTTGGTTGTGTGTTAACCACTTTTTGGGTAGGGGAGGTAGAGGGAAGAAGGGGAGGGATATTTTATTTAGTATTTCTATGTGAGTATAGCAGAAAAAAATTTCTCTCTTCACCAGGGTGTATTTACCAAAAGTCTGATTATACTCATAATTAAAAACAATTTTTGTTTTTATTTTACAGCTAGTTATGCATCAAATCCCATTTGCAAGGGCTGTTTGTCTTGTTCAAAGGACAATGGGTGCAGCCGATGTCAACAGAAGTTGTTCTTCTTCCTTCGAAGAGAAGGGATGCGCCAGTATGGAGAGTGCCTGCATTCCTGCCCATCTGGGTACTATGGACACCGAGCCCCAGATATGAACAGATGTGCAAGTGAGCATTTGGCTTTGTCTATCCTGTATTGCTAGATATGCAATTTAGGAGAGGAGCTAAGTTGAATATTTTGACTGATTTTTTAAAAAAATATATGTGTAATAGGCAATAGAAATAGTCTAAGCTTGTTGGGTGTGGTGGCTCACTCCTGTAATCCCAGCACTTTGGGAGGCCAAGGTGGATGGAGCACTTGTCGACAGGAGTTTGAGACCGGTCTGGGCAATGTGGCAAAACCCCATTTCTACTAAAATCACAAAAATTAGCTAGGCATGGTGGTGCACAACTGTAATCCCAGCTAGTAGGATGGCTGAGGCACCAGAATCTTTTGAACCTGGGAAGCAGATGATGTTGTGAGCTGAGATCTCTGCTGTGCACCTGGATGACAGGGTGTGACTTCATCTCAAAAAAATTAAATAAATAAATAAAAGAGTCTCAGCTCAAACTTGCAGAAATGAGTGTGGTAGGATAAGAGCACCTGTAGTTTATATTTTGTATAGAACTGTAAGACACAGTCACACATACACACTTTATTTTAGATTACATAATTTTTTTTTAAATCACAAGGATCTCAAGCACAATATTGTTTGACAGGTTTTTGTAAAGAGGACTTACTCAGTGCTTATAAAAAAACAAACAAAAAAACACCAAGTAATTTAAGTACTTAAACTGAGAACAGTCTCTCTGGTTTACCAGTTTCTATAGTTTCTTTTTTTCTTTTTATTTGAGTTTGTAATCCTGAGTTAGTCTAACTTGCAATTAAATACATGGCAAAGGTGGTTTCTTTAAGAACCATTATTGATATAACTAAAAAGTTTAGGTTATTTTAAAGTAATCTGAGTTGCATGTTTAATAACTATTTAAAAAAAAGGTTGAGGAATGGCATTTTGTATATAGGAATGAGGGTGCAATTTTTCATCTCTTAATCCAAAAATCACTTACAGAATGAGTCTCATCTTCTAGATCAGCTATATAAATTGTGGTTTAAAAAATAAGTGAGATAGCAAAGGAGCATCCCTTTCTTTAAGGAACTCAAATTTTAGGAGATAGAAAGGATAAGAAAAAGGAGACCACAGAATAAAATGACAAATGGTAAGTAGTTCAATCATAATTTAATATATTAAGTGCTATGTCAGTAATAATTAAATCACTCATATATATGTGTATATATATATGAGATCATTAAATCTCATATTAATGAGAGTGGTTTAATGATCTCCCATTAACACACTATGTATGTGACTATTCAGCCAAGACAGTCTTCAGATGAGAAGAGAGTTTGAATTACATCATCCAACGACAATATTATTTTGGAAGGAAGCAGAACTAGTGGGGGCTATTTAGATGAATTCTAAAAGGAAGAAACCACATATGTGTAAAAATAAGGTGTTTGGGGAACAAGAACTCTCACCCGGAGTGTTCTTTGGCATTTCGGCGATGCAATTCTCTGTTTCATGGGACCTGTCCTACATTGCTGGACATTCAGCATCCTTGGTCCCTGCCCATTAAATGTCCTTTTTGTCTTCAAACTACTGTTATAAGCAAACGTGCCCCCAGACATTTCTAAACACTTCCTGGAAGAGCAGTATGGTAGCTGGATGAAAACCATTGAAGAGCATGTGGCTAGTGGGAGGTGTGGATGGAACTGAGGATGGAAAGGGAGGCTGCAGTGAAACGGATAAAGGTGTTGCCTGCCATACTAGGACTTTTTGGTATTATCTGAGGGTACTGAGTAGGCAATGAGCTAAAGAGATTGCTTTAAGACAATTCTGGCAGAAGTGAGGGAGATGAATAGGAGAGGAGAACAAAGCAGAGGAAGGCTGCTGTAATGATTGCAGATTAGAAATCTTGTTCTGATGATTTTTTGTCGGTAATGAATTGCTGAGTCTTTAAAAATAGAACCAAAGGGGCCTGGTAACTAACTGGACAGGGCTAAGAGAAAGAATCAAGCATGATCTTGAGGTTTTCTAGCTAAGGTACTAGGTGAAGTTATACCATTAGCAGAGTTAGAAATGTTTAGGCGTGGAGGAAACTGGGATCTACCTTCATTCGTGGAATTGTTTAGATTAATATTTAAAGGACACAACTCTCTCCCAGTTAATAGAATGGCTTGCAAATATTTAGCAAATATGCATTTTGTTCTTAAAGTATGTGATTTAGCCTATCTCCTAATTGATGTCTCATGGTTTATATACTTCCAGAGGCGGATAGGGTCTACCTTGGAAAGGATTCCTGTTCAGATTGGTGTAGACCACTTATGGAGGGGGTGGGTTGAGTCCACTTTATTCTTTATTTTTTATTCCAGACTATCAGTGCACAAGGATGACAAGGCAAGAGTATAAATGGATAGAGGCATTTATTCCAAGTTCTAGAGCTAGCATTGTATGTACTGTTTATGGACAATAGGCTGGCCATATACTGTATTAACTCAGTGTGGACACTGGGAAATGAAAGGGGCTGCCATTAACAACTATGTAGGGAGACTGGATGGAAACCAGGACCATCCTGTGCAAACTGGTATGAATGGTCACCTCGGCAATACTTTGTAGCATATCAGTGGAGTCATCCTTAGAGAGATACTCTCAGGCAGGAGTTAACAGCACATTTTGGCTAAGTTTTCTTTTCTCAGAAATGGAAAGGAGATCACTGACTGTAAATCAGCCTTAGAAAGAAAATCTGCATATGGGAAAGGGTTTGCTGTGGATAGCCTTCTTGTAAGTGAATACAATCAATGTTGGAGTTTACTGACCTAGAGGAAATCATTACCTGGTACAAGCGGGAAGTGCTATTAACAAGACCCCATTAAAGCAAAGCTAAAATGGAAAATTACTTCTTAATTCTCAGTATATGATGATAATTTTTTTTAACCAATTGTTGCTCTCTTTCATGACTACTTTGCATATACTGCATTGATGTTTATATTTTGTTCAGGGTATGAGATTTAAATTGTAAAGCTGTCAGAGACTTAGAATTTGAAGTCATATCCACTTTTTGCTTCCTTAAAAGATAATTGCTCAATAGTAGAGAAGAAAATTATACTTTCAGCAATAGTAGCCAAAAAAGTCTTGTAAGTGAAATTTACTCATCTGTTTCCTAATCATTACAGTACAATTTCAAATGTAAAGCAATATTCTTCTTTAGAAGGAAGACTTGCTCTCTAAAATGTTGTCTGATGTTGGCCTCTTTGTACATAGAGTATGAAGCTTATAAAATTCAACCATACTTACGGAAACCAATAACCATCTGAGTAATTCTGTGAATACATGCACTAACAGACACTAGAAACTGCCATTGTCCCTGATACTATGTTAGATGTTATTTCACTCATATTTTTTTCTCATTCATTCATGAAACTAGTTACATAAAAGTTTATTTTTTAAATTGTTCTACATAGTCCTTGTAGAAAGCTTAGAAAAGTGCATAGAAGGCCTAAAACAAGCAAAAGCAAGCACTTCTCTTAAAGTTAACAAAAGTGAACAAAAGATTTTGTCCTCTCTTCTTGACAATATTTCTATGAGTATTTGTGGTTTTCCTCACCTTACAGATGTATCATTGTGTTTTGTAACTTGTTTTAACTTAATAAATTATAAACATATTTTCATGCCATTAAATATGGCTGCATATATTCTGAATGGTTAAACTATAATATATTTAGTTAATTGCTTATTGAAAATTTGCTTTTAGTTTTTCACAATTATAAGCATTTCTATGAAAAATATTCTTATATAAATTCTTGCTCTCTCATGTACAAATTTTTCACATTTGCCTGTTTTTTTAAAAAGATGAACTTTTAAACATAATACATGTTTTGAAGGTGTATATTGCCAGTTGGATTTCTAGAAAAGTTGTATTACATCTTCTCTAACAGTGGACATTTTCTCTTGCATTTCACTGGCTATTAATGACAAGTAGAAAACTGCATTTTTGCCTTAATATGCTTTTTCTTTGATACAAATGAAGCTGCACATTCTTTTGTCACAGGAATATTGGCATTGTAGGATGTTTACCAGAGTCACTGCCTCCTCTTTTTCTATTTGTACAACTGTCATATTTTTCGTAATTAAAAAACTTTCGAAGTATCATGCAGAATTCTAAATTCACAAATAATAAATGGAGAGTTTAATCAACTATTACAGAGTAGATACATTTCACTCCCACTGAGGTCAAGAAAGAATGTTAGCACTAGCCACTGGCTAACTTCCTCTTCGCCAATGTCTTCTCCTTTGGCATAACTACTATCCTGACTTGCAAACAAAACACACATAAAACATTATTCATGGCAACACTATTTATACTGATTATAACTTGGAAACAACTCAAATGTCCAAACAGTATAATACCTCAAAAATATAGTATATTAATATTGACATTTAACAAAAAACAAGGAAAAGCCAACGGAGGAGGCTGTGACCAACTAACCAGGAAAACAGGATGATGTTCCAGAAGCACAAGTGGGAGGAGGCCTTGAGGAGAAGAAAGTGGTCAATGTCAGTGTTGCACTGTTTAAACAATAGAGCTGTTGACCTTCATGTGAGTCATTTCATTGTCTTTGCTGGGACGCCCACCGTCCTGATTGCTATGGCTTTGCAGGGGCTGGGGGCGGGGGCAGTACACGGAGTCATAGGAAAGCACCCAGTGATTACATACACTCGTTTTCTTCTTTCACTTCTCTGCTACATCAGATAAAACGAGTATCTGATGATAACTGGAGGGCTCACAGATGGGTAAGTTGGGGAGTGTGTGTATGTTTGTGTGTGTGTCTGTGAGTGACAGAAGACATAAGTAGGAAAGAGCCAGTTGAGGAGGATAGACAGAAAATAATGAAGTAACAAGATCCCTGAAGGGACAGAAAAGGATAGAGTCCAAAACATAGGTGGAGAAATTAACCTTGGACAAACATTAATTCAGCAATTTATGAAGTATCTACTCAATCAAGGTTAAGGATTCTTTTTTGTCATGTATTAGGAAGGTGTCAGAAATATGCTGAAATTCAGGAAAAAGGA